TAATAATAATTAGCATTAGCATTAGCGTTAGCATTAGCATTAGCATTAGCATTACCATTACCATTAGCATTAGACACAGCATTAGCATTAGCATTAGCATTAGCATTAGCATTAGAATTAGCATTAGCATTAGCATTAGCATTTGCATTAGCATTAGCATTAGCATTAGCATTAGCATTAGCATTAGCATTAGCATTAGCATAAGCATAAGCATTAGAATTAGCATTAGCATTAGCATTAGCATTAGCATTAGCATTAGCATTACCATGAGCATGAGCATGAGCGTTATCACTATAATTATCATTATCCTTAGCATTAGCATTAGTCATACAAAATAATGTCAAAAGACAGCTTTACATTCTTTAATTTGGGACTATCGTGATGAGTTTATTGGTACGAAAATGTGTTCTTGATCAGGACAAAATCTCTTAGAGCACTTCTCGCATGGCTAGGGAAGAAACAAAGTGGAAGCAAGTTCGTTTCATATGTTCAACAGGTTCCTTCGTTTGCGGTTTTTTGTGGCCAAAAGCTGTTTGAGGCATTGCGCAAATTGCAGAGAAATTGCCGCGGCATATAAAACTAATTGCGGCTACGTCGAAATTCTTCAATGAGCCGTTGCCGCGGTGGTTGGTTGGCGTGCCGGAGAGGGCGAGGGTACTGCAACGGCGGGGCAGAAGTGGTGCAACTTAAATGAACGAACACAAAAAGGATTTCAATAAATGTCATAAATTTACCAGACGACTTAACAAATTGCAAACTGAATGAGAATGAAAATTGCTATGGAAATGAGAATGGAAACGGAGACGAAAATGGGCATGGGAATGGAGACGGGAATGGGAATGGAGATGGAAGTGGAAATGGGAATGAAGACGGGTAGTAGCCGTTCACAAAGGATTCATTTTCTTTGTGCCCACTCACCCCACCCAGTTGCACTTGCGTCTGTTTGGATTTTTGGTGATTATCGTTCGAGTTGCTGGCGGCTTTTTAAACGCTTTCGTTACAATAAAAAAAAAAAAAATGAAAAGCCATAAGTAGAAAAAGTAGAAAACTTACCAAAAAGTAACAAAAAAAAGAGGAAAATAAGGAATGCCGGTAAAAAAAAAGTGCGTTTGCTTCGGTGCATGAAAATGGAAAACCAAAATGAAATTTCCATAAGTAAAAACGGGAACAAGAAATCAACGCATCAAGAGCTGAGAGCAGCCGAGATGAACCGCGTGGCAGAGCTGGGCGAGGGGGGCGAGCGGAGCTGCGGCTGGGCAAAATTCAAAAGCTTTCACTTTTTAGCCAACGAGTCTTCTTTTTTTTTGTGTGTCTTCTGGTTTTTCTTTAGGTTCTTTTCATATTATTTTGCTTTTGCGTAATAATGAAATTAAATTGCTGTCTTACACACACACACACACACACACACACGCACACGCACACGCACACACATACAGGCACACATCTATATCTATATACCTAGCAGATACGAAATGTGTGTGCGTATTTTTATCTTTGCCACTTTGCAGTGGTTTTCATATCTGTGGCAATTGCAAAATTGGTGCACAACAAACCGAAGATGCGCTCTGCAAATGCAAAACTGGGCAGAGATTGTAATTTGTATAAGAAGAAGAACGAATTCATGCCAGAATATGCATGGTCACAAGTCTGAAAACCACGCTCGATATCTGCTGTCTCTCTCGCTCTCTCACCTCCTCTATCTCTTTCTAGGTGAATTTTTTGAAGAGTATTTTGTCTGTTAGGCAAAATAATAAAACGATTTTTCAATTTGCGGCAGTTGATGGTCGAGAAGTTCAATAAGATTTACTCAGACGCAATTATTAATCTTTTTCTTTTAATTTATGGATTTGTATATTTATTTATGCACTATAATATATAACATTACTATGTTATATATTTTTAATATATTTGTTAATTTGTTTATATACCAAAACAAATTTTAATTATATAAGGGTATAATGTTTTGTGCAAATGTATGTAATAGGCAGAAGGAAGCATCTCCGAGCTCATAAGTGTATATATTCTTGATCAGCATCAATAGCCGAGACGTTCTAGACATGTCCATCTGTCCGTCCGTCCCTATGTATGAAAACGTCGATCTAAGAACCTATAAGAGCTAGAGACTGAAATTTTAGAGCCCGCGCGGTACGAGTTTGTTTCCGAAAATCGATAATTTGCCCCGTTTCCAAGCAATTGAAAAAAATCGATAACGAAAGCCTATTTTCTGAGCAAATCTATTGGGTTATAAGAGCTAGAGTCACAAAATTTGGCATGTAGCTTCTAGAATACTATAAACAGATGAAGTATCTTTCATTAGCCTCCCCTTCCACCTAGCGATAGCTGCATGTGGTATTGGTAGAAGAAGGGTCAGGGTATCCCCTAGTCGGACACTCCCGGCTAGAGCCCTCTTACTTGTTTATTTATCATATTATATATTCATATTATGTTTGTATTTGTATATTTATAACATTATATATATTTATCGATAATAAAATTGGCCTTAACGCAATCTTTTGACATGCTTGGAATGCAATCTCTTTAAGGAAATAATTTTAAAATGTCGGTTATTTTTTACAATCGATTTAAGCAAAATCGAATAAATCAACAGTTCATTAGACACAAGCATTGACTTAATTAAATCGATCGAATGCAGCTCATTTAAGTGCATCATTTGCCCTATTTTAATATGAAACACGGCCTTATCTACCGTTAACAATCGGGCATTAAAGAGCAAACTATTAACAGTTTCCCCCTAACCCCCCTGTCGTTGCCCTGCGGCATTGTAATCAATTTTGACGCCCAAATTCTTGTTGATTTGCTTTATAAACTTGTTGCAAACTTGATATTTATTATTTTAGTTTGCCTTTGTCCAAACATTTGCATTGTATTACAAGTATCTGCATGTCCAACCCAACCCAATTTGATGATTTTCTCAATTTTGTTCACTTTTCTTGTACAGTTTTTGGCCAATGTAGGTCAAGAATTTACATAAATAGCTGCAAATATTTCAACCGCTGGCCAATTTTGGCCCAAGTTGCTTTGCGTTGGACTTCAGCGCAATAAAATTACCAGCGTAATCGGTAAAAAAATATAAAATAAAACTGTTTTTCGAAGCGTAAAAAGTTCTAGCGGTCAAGCACGAAAATACAAAATGGCGGCTACGAACTGTAACTATCTTCCGAGTACTCTTAAATAATCGCATGAGGCACAGCTTGGCTTTAACAACTTTTAATAAACTTTGTGCAAGCATATATCTATTTGAATCAAATTCTATATACTTAATATCTAAACCGAGTCTAAGCTTAAGAAATTTTATATAAATATGTATCCCTTTTTTCTGAATCGGCTATTTCCCTTGATCACTAATTTGTCTATGCAAATCTGTTAGATTTCCATTTATTCCCATTACTATTATTAAGATGAAAGATGAATTAAAACTAAAAGAAGAAACACAAAAATTTTTGGATGCATAAAAGCGAGACAATTCTTAATTGGGAACTGCTTGTGAAGCTGGTTTTTCACGCATAAATTTCCCGACGCAAACGAACAACTAATGCAATCAATTTATAAACCGATCGCTGAGCATTAATATTGGGATATTTATCAATTTGAAGCTTGTGGAGTTTTGTATTTAGTGCTCGTTGTGCATACCATATGTTGCCCTTTCGTGGCTGCAGGGTATAAAGGCAAATGAAAACAACATGCGACATAAGACATGAGACGACGCAGCGCTGTGCGTGTTAGCCTTGAGCTACATTCGGCAGACGAGACAACAACACGCAAAATTGTACACGTCCATAATGCAAAGTTTGCGGCGAAAAGAAAATGCGGCAAATATGGGGAATAGAGTGTGTGCGAGAAGAATGCCAGTAGAGTGGGCAGAGAGAAACCTTCGTCAAAGTTGCCGTTATCAATATGTTGTTTTTTGTTGTTGCCTGTTCTTATTGGCATGGGCAGCAACAACAACAACAAGCAAACAAATAATAACAATAACAAATGTACGTACACACACACACAAACAAATACATGCAGCATCATAATTTTTGTGAGAGCAGCTGTGCTGCGCTGCCTTGTGCCTTGTGTTGTTTGCTGCATAGGGAAGTGGAACAGGAAAAGCAGAAGAAGGAAGAAGAATGTGTGTAGTTAAGCGGCGAAGTGAGCGTGAGGGGGACGCGCGAGCGGGCAGCAGCAGAAGTTGATGGCATCTGTTTAATTTTTGCTGTTGTTTTTATTAATGAATTTTTATGCTCAGTAGGCGGCGGCAGAGGCAGCGGCAGCTGCGTCTGCTGCTTCTACCTCTACCTCTTCCTATATATGTACCTCTTCAGCTGCTGTCCTCTCTATGCTCAGCTGTTTTTGTTGCTCTTGTTGTGGTCGTCTTTTGGCTGCGTTTGCTTTTTACTTTTGGGCTATGGCTAAAAATATGTCTGCCAATTCGCTAAGTGGCTCAAGTTGTACATATATTTATGAGTATGTGTGTGTATGAATGTATTGGCGTATGCATGTACCTATATATATATACGACAGAACTTTTTTATATTGTTTGCGTACGTATGCATGTGTGTGTGTCTGACTTCCATTTGAGTGCAGTCACAATAGCTGCCAAAAACTTCAACATAAAATATATATAAATGTTAAATAGGCAGCATAGTTAGGCCGATGATTAAATACCCTTTCCCACAAGTATTTCAAAAGTTGAATATGTTAAAAATGTAATTAATTTAAGAAAATGTCCTAATTTCCTTTAAAGGGACATTTCTGTTCGATCGGATATTCAAATTCCTAGAAGACTGGAAACTTCCAATAAAGAAATCACAAAACCGAATCGATTTTAGAGACTTTAGAGTGCTATATAAAAATAATCTCAGCTTAACTTTAAAGAAATAAAATTCTATGCTAAAATCAACTTAATTAACATTTCAAACCAAAAACCCATTTCATATACATATGTGTATATGTATGTATGTGTGTACTTAGTAAATTAATTTTGTTATACATACATGTATATAAACACATGCACGCATGCACTTTCTATTTTTTAACGGTGCTTCACTGTATTCAAATGGTTTTTGTCTTTGCCGTTTGCTTTGGCCAATTTCTAACTGTAATTGCCTTGCAGGGGCTCTTCTTCTGCTTCTTGTTGTTGTCTTTTGTAGTTATTAATAGTTGTTGTTGTTGTTGCTGTTTTTATTGACGTGGCGAACATGTGCGCTCTTTTAAATTCGATCTGCACTTTTTTTGGCGCGCACTCAGTTGCCGGCTAACGGCATTGAGTCGCCGACAGTGACACACACTTGCATATACATATCTCTCAATACATGACACAGCACAGACACAAACATACAAAAAAAATATGAAAATAATAAAATAATTTATATTATTTAGTTATTTTGGCTGTATTTTACTTTGTCGCACTTTTAATTTCGTCGCGCACACGCGACATTCCTCTCAAAAGAAACGCACACAATTCCGACACGCCGCGCGCTACATGTTTCTTCGTGTCCGTACACGTGGCGAACTCGACGCTTACTAAAGCTGTGGCCGCGCAGCTGCTACACGACAGAGCGAAATGTACCGCTTGTCGCGTCCGCATCGGTTGCCTGCGTTGACACAATGACTCAGTCAGTGGCGGCCATAGCCCAGAATCGTCGCCAGGCGCGAGCCACGAGCACAGCATCGCCGAGCCGAGGCACGAGCGGCGTCCGAACTCAAAGCCGAGCGCTGCACGCGATGCCTTTTGAGCTATTTGAAGCTGTTATATTTTTGGCAACGTGTCGCTGTGTTGTAGCTCGAGCACATAAAATTTCCCCATATTCTCGCTATGCAAGCGCAACGCCAATGAGAGCGAGCAACAGCAGCATTTGAGCGTTTAAATGAGCAGCAATGCAATTGCGAGCGTGAGTGGATTAGATTTGAGTGCTTTAAATACGTTTCGGACTCCATGTTTGGCAGCCTTTTGGCTCATATCCGTTTGCCGTGCGTGCGACTTCCGTTGTCTTACGGCCAAGGAAGTTGTTGCGACGTCCAAGAACGAGCTCGAACTCGATTGTGAGAGGATGGGGATGAGAATGTCTGGTACTGCCTCATTGGGGCATATCAAAAAATGTACTCAGGATCGCAGAATTTAACTCAAATGCGAACGGAGTGAGAATCCCAACTGCAGCTTTGGTTTTGAGCCATGCTTCAAATGAGATCTTTTCAAATGGGATTTCGGTTTCAAAAGAAAAACACTGAGGGATACCCTGTACGTTTATTTTAAATGAATGGAAGCATATATAATATAACGTTTTTTTTAGTATTCGTAGTAAGAATGGGAAAGGTTTTCAAAAGTGGCATCTTCTTTGATATGTATTTTGGGAGAAAAGAATATTTTATCAAAAGAAAAAAACTTGGATGTCGATATACACATATCCCTTGTCGGGAAAACCCTTTAGCCACCTATATGCGATACCCTGTACCTTAAATTTAGGTGAATACATGCACATATAAAACAACGCTTTTTACTAGTTTTCGGTATTGAAAAGGGAAATTTTTATTTATCTGAATTTCTCAAGATGTGGATATCAATATTTATCCCAATATTCATCCCGTCCGGATATAAGAATGGGGAAAAGTATTCAAAAGTGAAATCTTCTGTGATCTGGTTTTTTGGGAGAAAATGATATTTAATTTTAAAATTTATTTATGAGAATATCCCCGATCGATATCGATACATATCCCGCTTTGGGAAAACAGGATATTTTACGAATACAAAATACCATTATCCTCCTAAATCTGCGCATTTGACGGACAGACTTGGCTGCTTGGATTCAGCCTGTTGTCCTGATGCTGATCCTGAAATTCAGTTAATTATATTTTGATATAAAAGTAAACCAAGGTCCGAGCCAATCAGAGTCTTTGGTTGGTTATTTCTAGCATTGATTCGAATTCGATTTTTTACATATTTAATAGTTTTATCAAATTGGAAGCCGAGCCGAATACCCTGTAATGCTTATGAAAGTCCGCGCGAAGGATCATTAGGAGGAGTCTAATAACGTGGTAATGGAACGGACAAGTTCAGTAGCCCAGCCAAGTCAATTCTCCGTTTGAAGGGGCAGAAATTTTATCTGGAGTCTAATAGCCTTTCTCCACTGGGCTTAAGGGAATATGATGACAACCGTAGAACATTTAATACGAATTTCTGCTGTACAAATTCAATTCGGTCTTGATGAATGGAACAGGACGAGAAGCAGGCACATGAGCCAAACTAAAGCATGTGACGGGCAGGAGAGATAAGTATAAAAAAAGGATTATCTGACTGAAACTAACCTTAAATAAGTCAAATCGGAGTCTGAATGACCGACTCCGCAATACTCTATTGCCAAACAGCTAGCAAGGAGGGTCAGCTAGTAACTCGGCAAAAGTCCAAATGTGACATGTGTGTGTGTGTGTGTGTGTGTGTGTGTGTGTGTGTGTGCCACGCCCCCAGCTGTAGGGGCCGCACAATATACTCTTTGACGCTGTATGAACAGGGTAACAAAAGCATGACAGCAATTGAACTTTGGCTGGCGTTGCAGTTTCCACGCAGCGCTGCTTGCCCGACGCTTTTCCGGCTCGGTCCGTTGCCAGGCCTGGCTAGGACAAGAACAGAGCCGAGTCTCCCAGGCAACTGAGCAGCTGCAGCAACTGAGACGCCATCAGCCACAAGCCGCATTGTGCAACAGGGAAAAAAAATTGAAGATGGACGGAAAAAGCGAATGCTTTTTGCAGTAGCAGCAGCAGCAGCAGCAGCAGCAGCCGCAACGATGGCCCGATTGTAGTTTGGACAACAGCAGCAACAACAACAACAACAACTAACAACAGCAACTTGCAACAAAAAAAAACAGTAACAACAACAACAACAACGGTCAAAGGTTGTCACATTCAGCAGCAGCTGTTGCTCGTTTCAATGGGGATTTGGCTTGTGCTTGGTTCTCGCACTTTTACAAAGCTCCTCCCCCTCCCGCCCCACCCCCTTATCAGTGCCATCTACCATCTTTATGCTGTTTCCAGTACATTTATGTCACATTAAATATTTGTATGTGTTTCCCCCACTGGGTTATATTTCGAATGCCGCCGAGTCTGATTAGGGACAATCGAAGGGGCAGCAAAACAATAATAATAACAATCAACAGCAACAATCACAATGGCGGCAGCGATGCATATTGCATGCAAGCTTCATTAAATAGCAACTAAGCAACGTATCTACACACACACCTGCACGCGCACACACACACACACACACCTGGACGCACACACACCTACTCAATTAAGGGCATTTTGCGTGGGGCTGCAGCTTAATAAACGCTTCTGTGCAAAATATTCTCGAAAATTATTAATTAATCCACAAGATACTTTACTAACTTGCATTGCAGCCATACAACTCGGGTCCAATCAGAGCGCACACACACACATACACATGCGCGCACATACACACAGACACACACACACACACACACACCCACAGCCAGACACAATTGTTACCGAGGCAAAGGACTCCGGCATACCCTTGTACTCGATTGGTCACTCGAGAACGAATACTTACAATCGAGTAATTATACCCTGCATACCCTAAACGCAACAAAATTTGGCACTTGGGTATACCAAACTATAACAAACAAAGTAAGGTGCGATAAATCAATGTGAACACAAGATTGACCAGCTGTCTGACTGACTGACTGCTGTATTGATTGATGAGCTACGCACTGCCCAAATCATAAGAGCTGGAAATCCGACATTTTAATGCACTCAATTTACAAGTAATTCCACTCGCAAGTGTGGAAATTCAAACTCATATTCAAGGATCTTTGGTAGAATTCACTAAAGACATGTTGCTACTAATCCTTATATTGAGCTCCTATATATATATATATATATATATATATATGTAATCCATCAATCAATCAATCAATCAGTCAAAGCAAACTGTATATATATATTAATTGACTTTCGACTCATAGCTCATGACAGCTGTACTGTACTGTAGCTACTTTAAGAAAAAGTCATGTAAATTCACGATAAAGCGGACGTTTTTGGATATTTTCACCCGCACGTGTGGAAAATAGGTGGACATGCACAGGAGACCGCGATCATCGAATCAACATTGAACTTATATATCACATAAGTTCTTTATTTTTTAAGATCCCATTAGACGCTTCGGCGTCTTATTGCGAGCTCTGTACAGGGTATTTCCGAGTCGATCAAGTCCAGCTTTTGTGTGGCATTGCCTGCACAAGGACTCTTGATTAATGAAATATGCTTGAAATGTCAAAATCCGAAGCTGTCAAAGCAAATTCATCTTTCTCGCTACGCAACTGCTTGTTGCCTCCCAAGCTCCTCCCCTCCCTGCAGCTAGTTGCACTTTCAAAAATCACACGAATTGTTTGAATTTAAGGGAAATGTAATTTTTAGATATTTATATCAAGTCAATGCTCGTCCGAGCATACTTGGCTTTGTTTTTTACCAAGTGATTTGATTGGTCTAGAGTTGGGTTTCACAGCTTTCAGAAAATCCACGCCGCCGGGTGAATATAGGATTTGTTCAAGGTTCTATGGGCGAAAGTTTAAGTTTCGTCTAACCTTTAGACTTATTGGAAAGGTTTAAGTTTAGAAATATATATGTTTTTGGTAAGACCCACCAACAAGGTCAGAAAATGCGTGGAAAACTCTCTCTATCGGATTCAATATCTACGTTCAAATTCATTGTTAGCTAAAATAGAGAAAAAAAGCTTTGTGAGCGCTTTATTTAATATATATTATACAATATATTTTTTCTTTAATAATTCGAACGACAGCAAAAACCTGTCAATATTAAAAGTCCTTCAGAACTCTACTAGTATATTAAATTGAAGACCAGCGAAATAAACAGCTCTCGTATTGCAATTATTGAAAAAAACAAAAAAAACAAAAACAACAGTCCGAATGCATTGTAATTTTGATTGAATGAAAAACAGAATACGAATCAAATTTTCAGATCAAATTATATGCACATTTATAATGCAAGGCAGGCCCGACTCGCCACGCCGAGAAGTGGGCCTCGGGTGCAGCAATTTCAAGGCTTTCAATCAAATGTTGTTGTTTTGTTATGTTTTTTGTTTTGTGTTTTGCGCATTTCGATTATTTTCGAATGTAGTTCATTATGCAGACATTCGGCTGAAATAGTGTAATCAAAAGCTCCTACAAAATGAATTGTCCCAGATATGGACTAACTAATGCAGGCGTCAGGTATGTTACGTGTCCTATTCGGGGGGCAGTGTGTGATTGGGGCTCGACAGCTGCTACTGCGGGGCAGGTTGATCCATAATTAAAGGACCAAGAGACATGGTGGACGGGGGTTAATTGGGGGAGGGGGGTGTGTGTGTCTGGCCACAGAACATGGCTTGCGGCCATTAAAACAACAATGACTGTGGCCGCAACAAAAATAATCAAATATACACTGCGGCGGCCACTCGCATTGTTTATTCTGTAGTCAGCCCCCCCCCCCCCCCTCTCGCACAACCCCAACCCACCAGCCACACCTGTGCGGCTCCATCAAATGGTATTCGAAAGTCAGTTTTGGGCCATGTTCGAATGCAGCTCGAAA